CCATCATTAGTGAGACATCGGAGACTCTGAATTTGCAACTCTTTGGGACCCACGCCATAGAGTTAAAAAACAAAGGAAGAAACTTCATTTGGCCAAGCTGGCCAGACACTGCATTATGTGAAAATACATACCTTACACTTCTGATTCATCTCTAATAGAATTGAAGTAGCCAAAGAATTCAATTAAACTTAATAAGCATGTAATTACGTAGCTGCTGGGGACAGAAGTGCTGTGCCAGGTGTCTGGGTATGGAAAGATGAGTAAGATAGAGACCCTGCCCTCAAAGCATGAACAGATGGTGGAGGGGAGAGATGGAGCTCCAAGCCAGTGGGAATGGGATCAGAAAAAACATCACAAAGACAGCATCTGAGATAGGTCTTCTAGGCTGGGCAACATTTCAACAGGCAGATATGGGAGACGTAGCTCTGGCTCTCAGGACATCATGGTTCTGAGAGTTGGTGGGAAGCGGATGTGTGAGAGGCTGAAGGGGCATCACAGTACAGCTCAAGAGCCCATCTGCAATGCACGCTTGGAGGCAATGTCAACTCCCTGCAGTGGACAACTCCTCAGGATGGGTGGGGGCAGGGACAGTGGAAAAAGATGGAGAAAAGAAGAGAGTGTGAGGAAGGGCAAGACAGGGAGAGAAGACTCTAGAAATATCTAGCACCTACTCCAAGCTGTGGCCTACTCCAGCTGGATCTGGCTGCTGCTGCATATGATAACTCTGCAGGAGGCGCACAGGTAGATGGCCTTAAGCTTCATGATAAGGTACAAAGGGCTGAGCCCAGGACTAAATCGTTACCTGGAGAGTGTTGTAAAAGTTCAAGGAAGCAACAAATTATTGAACTCTTCAAGGGAAATGACGGAGGATTTGAGGATACTTCTTTGTGGGTTTTCATTTGGTCTCTCAAGTATTTCATTGGTTGGAAAGAGCAAACTATGTCATCCAAGGTGATTAAACCAACCTCCTTATCTCGACATCTCAATTGTTCACCCCACAATATCCATCCTCTCACACGCCTCCTCCCCGCACAGTTAGGAACACTACTCCATTTTAAATGTGGCAATGTGGAAAAAAGCAGCAGCCCTACATTTCCCACTGCTCTTGGCAGCTGCCTGAGCAACCCTGCAAGCCGAGAGGAAAACAAGAAAAGACATCTCTTTCTTTTGGCATCTGGCACAAACTCATCTTCTCAGCCCAGGCTCAGACGTCCTTGCTCTTGGCTCTTGAGTCTTGGCAATGCGGGATCACACTTTGCAAAGCATCCCCAAGTAACAGTCCAAGCAAGATAGTTTCAAGTTGGGACAACGATGTTTGTGTATGACGTTGCTTTTGTTTCTCAGACAATTGCTCCTGTTTAGCTGAGAACAAACCAACCAATCTAGCCTGTGACTTGTATTCCTTCTCTACCACCGGTTTGTGGCTACAGTCACAGCTTCCAGATGGCTGACAGTTTACGCTACTCCTCTGCTTTGCTTCAGAGAACGCTGCATGCCTTTGCTCAGAGGGAGCCACACTGCCTCTCAGTGCTCAGCTGAGACAGTGTATGGCGGGCTGTGCAGGGGCGGTGCTGACTTCAGCAGGCCCTGGTGGTGCCTTTGGTCTGGAAGTCACAATTCTGTGAATCCTTCCAGCATCCCTTCTTTTCTGTCTCCCTGTTGGAGCTCTTGACACTGAGAGCCCAGCTTTTCTACTCCATTTGGCATATCTCCTTCCTTCAAAATAAATTCTTGGGCATCAGAATGTGTAATAAACCTTCATCTCCTGGAACATATCAGAAGAGGAGGAAGGAAAGTGATAGCCTCCTCCCTCACTCCTCTCTTCCCCATCCCATTGCCCGGGGTCTGTTTTCAGCAGGCTGGATCACATCCTACTATTCTGAGCTTTAAGCTAGGCACAGAGCAGGTCCTTTAAATGCATGCTGATTCGGAAATTCCCCTACTTATCTGACTTTTCAGTAATGCAGTTAGAATGACAGCCTCTGAGAAGGAGCTTATGGAAAATACCCTTCTAAAGATAGTTTTGGTTGTAATTCTTCCTCCTCCTCTTCCTCTTTCCTGTTCTCCTCCCTCCCTCCCTCCCTTCCTTCTTTCTTTCTTTCTGTGCTCTCTTCTTTCTCTTTTTCCTTCTTCTTCTTCAAATATACAAATACTGACTTCTCTCTTTAGTTCTTTATCATGCGTCTTCCTGCTCACCAACATCTTCTCCTGTTCAATGAGATGTAGCAAGGTCTCTGCAGAGCGGCGGTCTTCTCAGACTCTTGGTACCACATATACAGGAAGCCCATCTCAAGCAGGTGAGGAGAATTACCACAGTCACGAATATGAGATAGAGATGAACGGAGAAGTTGTCTTTCAATTCAAGAAAACTGAGCACTCTACTCTTGAAATAGAGAATGATAACGGGCGGGCGGACGTCCATTCAAAGCCCTCCACAACATGGCCTTCAGTTGCCTTTTTTCAATTTGTTGTCCTCTGCTTGCTCCATCGGAACCTCCAGTCCTTGCTCACTGTAAATGTGACTTACTCATTTCAGACTCAAGACCTTTTCTCAGTACTCTGTTCTGTTACCTCCAGCTCAGGATGATTTTCTCCCTCTTCCCAGCCAAACCAAAAGGTTCTCATCTAGCAGACGCCAGACCCACAACTCACTTCTTCCGCAAAGCCTTCTGTGACTGCTCTGGCCCACTGGGGTGCCTTCCTCTGGGACTCCTATAGTACTTAGGATTAAAGTATCCTTTTCAAGTAGTTCTCTGCAGCAGACGTGCTGTCAAGTGTTTCCCAACTCTTCCTTAAGGATCAGTATTGACTAAGGTTACTAGACTGGTCTCTCCCTCACTCCTGAACATTCGCTCACAGGCTGCTGCTACTCGTCTGAGGGGAAGGCAGACTCAGTTGCCAGATGCTCAAAGCCTGGGTCTCAAAAATGTGCAGGAAGTGGTTTGTTTGTTTTAATCTTATAAGACTGATTTATATATGTCCAATTTCCTTTGTAAGGACATGGCAAAAAGGCAAAGTAAATAAGAAAAGAGTTACTGAATAGAGGCTGTCTCCTTTAAGAAATAAAATTAAAGTAATTTTCACTCTAATATAGAAGTATAAAAAAGTTATTAATAGAATGGGTTTAATAGAATTAATCTATGGATTTTCTTGGTAAATGGATAAAAGTACTCAAGGATAGGTCAATGCTTTATATTAAGAATACAGGTGAAATGGTAAAGCCATTTCCAAGAGTGAGATGTTAAAATGCATGTTTTTCTGTGACGTAAGAATATCAGAAGTGCCACCTTTTTCAGAAGCTTTCTCAATCAAACTCCTTGAGCTTTCCAGTAACCAAGGAAGACATGATTATCCTTACAACATTCTCACAGATTAGAGCTGCTCCTTCTAATCGCACTGTTTCCCTTAATAACCCGTGATGTATATCACCCATGAGTCAATCTATTATATTTATATTCACACCACTTCGGTCTGAATTATTTCTCCAAACTGGCAACTCAATTTAAATAATGCAATAAGAACTCTGTGGATACAGAAATGGATAAAGATTTAGAGAGAAAGATAAAAAGTTCAGATTTTTACATGTGCAATACCATTTTGAACATATTTTTAAAATCTTATTCAGTTTATAAAGTGTTTTTTGTTTTTCCTAAGGAAGACTCGCCCTGAGCTAACATCCATGCTGATCTTCCTCTATTTTTTAGCATCTGGGCCACCAGCATAGTATGGCCACTAACAGAGCAGTGTAGGTCCACGCCTGGGAATCAAACCTGGGCTGCTGAAGCTGAGCACGCTGAACTTAACCACTAGGCCACCAGGGCCGGCCCTATAAAGTTTTATACATCTCAGACTAGTATACTAGGAAGAGGACGTGTGTGGTAAGATAATGAAGGTTTAGTATAAAATTAAAAACAGGAATTTCTAGTTTAAATTAAAAAAGAGAAGTCACAGCCCAATAATAGTCATTCAATATCTGACAGAATCTTGAGGCTGCAGAAACAGATTAAGATCAACAGTGCACTTACTATGACTAAGGTGGTAACAGTGCAATTTAAGGTTTGGTTAAGCTGCACTCAACAATCTAGGTCACAGAGAATAAAGAAGAAAGCCAAGTCATCAAGACACTTTTTATCAAAGGAAGGATGAGGCTTGATTCAAGGAATTCCAACTTTCTTTTCCTTAAAGAGCTTTTCTCTAAAAAGGATGTGTCCTGATTGCACTGTGAACTACATTTTTGTTATTTTTTATAAGGGAAGGACACAGGAATCAAGTAACAATAGAATTGGAAAGAATGTTTATATTAGACATTAAAATCTCAATTTAAAAATCTTTGCCCACTTGAAAGTATTGTTTTAAGACTGTTGAAAATAAATGCTCTTACATTTTATTTTTGATTAATCTTCTCTATTTTGTACCTTCATTTGCTTTCTCCCAGATAATCAATAGTAGGATGAAATGGTTTAACTGTCTTTTATTTTTTTATTTTTATTTTTTTTAAAGATTGGCACCTGAGCTAATATCTGTTGCCAATATTCTTTTTTTTTTTCTTCTTCTTCTCCCTAAAGCCCCTCATACATAGTTGTACATTCTAGTTGTAGGTCCTTCTGGCTGTGCCATGTGGGACATTACCTCAGCGTGGCCTGGCAAGTGGTGCCATGTCCGTGCCCAGGATCCGAACCAGTGAAACCCCGGGCCACCGAAGCAGAGCATGTGAACTTAACCACTCGGCCCTAAGGCCGGCCCCTTAACTGTCTTTTAAAATCGTTTGATGACAAGGAAAGATTTAAAAAGGCAAGTGCCACAACTGGGAGCTTTGTTCCTTCTAGACAGGTAGTGATTATAGGTAGAAATGTAAGTCTGATAACGTGTCCATCCTATGAGAAGGGCTTCAGCTGCTTTGCGCTTCTAACGTACAACGCCAGGAAGACAAGAGCCACTGGTGGACAAAGAAAAGGACAGAGGTTGCCTGGCAGCACTCCACCATGACTTGGGGTACTTACAGGGCAGTGAGGTAACCCTCCAAAAAGCCGGCCACAAACATGGTGATATCATTGCTCAGGGTCTGAGAACCATACCCCGCTCTGATTTCCAGGATGCCCCAGCCTGTGGTTTTCACAGAGTTATTGTAAAAGCCATAGGCATCCCCATTCCTGTCCATTACGTTTTTGACTTGTACTGTCTTTTCCGCAGGCATCCAGTACGCAGTTGCAGAGTAGACCACTGGAAGAAAAGAAAAGGACAGAATGATAGGATGCCATTTAACTGAGTTGCTGATGCATTTCTTTCCTATGTAACCAACAATTCCAACACATTTGCTTTTTTTTTTTTTTCTCCCCAAAGCCCCCAAGTACCTAGTTGTATATTCTAGTTGTGAGTGCCTCTGGTTGTGCTATGTGGGACGCCGCCTCAGTGTGGCCAGATGAGTGGTGCCATGCCTGCACCCAGGATCCAAACCGGTGAAACCCTGGGCCATGTGGCCATCCCCTACATTTGCTTTTAAATAGTTCCATTCTCTCAGAATTGGGAAATCTGCCACTGTAGTTTGTCCTTCTTATAAGTGAGACTTGATCAAGGAGGATGAGCCCAGGTCAAAGGTAGGGACATAGTTAGAGCATCCTAGAGGTGGGTCTAAGTGCTTCATCCTTAGAGATGGGATTCTGGGCCAGGCTGGAGTTGGAGCTTTCCCCCACCTCTTTTTTCTTTTTGGTGAGGAAGACTGGCCCTGAGCTAACATCTGTAGCCAATCTTCCTCTTTTTACTTAAGGAAGAGTGGCCCTGAGCTAACATCTGTGCCAACCTCCCTCCATTTTGTCCGTGGGATGCCACCACAGCATGGCTTGATGAGTGGTGCATAGGTCCTCACCTGGAATCCAAAGCCGTGAACCTGGGGCTGCTGAAGCTGAGCCTGCAAACTTAACCACTATGCCACCAGGCCCACCCCTCGCCCACCTCTTGATTAAACCAAGGATACCATTCACATCCCTGGTCAGCAACATCTTCCATTCCTCTCACCAGTTGGGGCAAAGCATCCATATTCTCTGGCTCCTTATCCTATCTCTCCTGCTTAAACCTTCACACATGACATTAATTCCTATTTTTCAGAAAAAATCGAATCTATCACCTGTGACTCCCTCAAGTTCTTGATAATTCTGTGAATTCACCCTCACAAATCCTGTACCCATCTCTCCCTTCTGGTTCACCTCAGTTCCGCTACCCACTTTCCTTATGGAGTTTGCTCCACCTTGTGCCTTCTTGCTCCTGCACCCTACAGCTCTCTCTGCAGTGGCTCCACTTCATCATTTTAACGAAGGCCCACCATTACAGTCATGACTCTACTCTGAATAAACTCACTTTCCCGGTCAGGATCATTCTTTAAGGGTCATAATCAGCATTCGCTTCTAAGTCTGACCAAGTCCTTGCCCCTCACCCAGGCCGCACGGGCCCAGACGCCATGATGCTCTAGCATAAAGTTTAAACTTTAGTGCTCCTTTGAGAGACAACCATTGCAACCAAAAAAATGAAATGCTGAGTTAATTTTAAATGTTGACAACTGGTAACCCTACATAAATATTTAATCTGAGCTTTCTAGTATCTTAACCACTAAAAACTCAGTATGTCCCAAACTAAACTCATATTTCCTCCCAGACCTACTCCCCATCTGCTCCCCCTCTCAGTGAATGATACAACATCCATCCGCTGAGCCTCAACCTAGAACCTGTGTGTCTTTTTGGCCTCCTCCCACCTCTCTGAGGACCTGAATGTAAAGTTTATCTTTAACCCAAGCAGCTGTGCAATAATTTATTAGACAAAAAAATATACTCTATATCATTTCCTTTCTCCCTTTCTTTTTTCCTTTTTTTCTCTCTCCTCCTTCCTTTCACAGATATGTATTGAGTACCTGTTATGAGCCAGGCACTATATCAAGTGCTGAGGAAACAGTCTCTGTCTCGAGTTCATAGGCCAGCAGTAGGGGCAGACATGTCAGTTACAGTGCAATGTGCTAGGACCTAAAGAAGATGTGCTTACAAGGTTCATTGAGCTTAGAGAGCAAGTCAACCCCTACAAAGGGAGCGTTGCTTCCTGAGTCTTAAATAGCAATTTTGAGATTGTTAGGTGGTTAACGAAAGAGAACATCTCAAGCAGAGGAAACAGCATATGCAAAGTCAGAGGGGTTGGACCAGCTCATGGCAGGTTGGAGAGCGGTATGTGATGTTTTCCAGATCACACAGTGCATGGGGTGATGGATGAAGCTGGATAGGTAGGCAGAAACCAGATCATGAAAGCCAAGAATGTAAGCTGAAGAATTTTATTTCTAGGAAATAGAAGCCATTGAAGAATTTTGGTAGTCAAGTCAACAAATCAGTTTTGCACTTTAGAGAGGTCACTCTGGCAGAGTATGCAGAATGGATGAAAGGTCAGAGGGAGCTTGAAAAAGTTCTTGTTTATAGTTAAGGCTAGTTGTGATACCTAAAGTATCATAGAAATGTAGAGCTAAAGAGGTGAAGGTTGGTGGGAGAGATATTCAGAAGGTTGTGATTAAACACGAGTTACGCAAGAGAGAGAGGCGACCTCGATTGACTTGGGTTTCAGGCTGACAGATCATGGAGCAAAAAAGCAGAAGATGGAGGATGGGTTGGGAGAGAATATGAGTTTTATTTTGGATACTTTAAATTTCTAGTGCTTATGGAATTATCCAGATGATGTTATCAAGGGTGCTGTTGGGTACACAAGTTAAAGAGGAACCCAGCAGAGGATGAGGAAGAAGGCAGGCAAAGGTGGAGATTCAGGAGAAGGTTGTTCCAGATACGTGGGAGGAAAGAGTTTTAAAAATAAGTGATCACCAGGGTCCAGTGTTTTCAGAAGTTCTTGTGACATCAGCACATTAGCATAAGTAATGACATAAAGAAACATAGGTGGGTGCAGAATACTTGTCAACAGACTCCTGGTGACGAATAGTAGTTTAATTGTTAATAAAGCCAATTGGTCACAATTTGACAATTATGGGCAGCATCTGCAGAAACTTCCCTTCTTCTCCTCCCAAATGTAGTAAATATGTTTTCCAAATTGATTTTGGACCACAAATGCCATTGCCTCAGTTCTTCCCCAGCTTTTTTCACACATTCTCTTCTATCCTCACCTCCAGTGAGCTTTGGAAAGAAATGAGAAAGCAAGGCTCACTAAACAAAAGGCAGCCACAAATTGCCCGGCAGGGGGAGGGGTCATAAAGAGGAAGTGTAAAAGAAAGCAGGAAGGTGAGCAAGCCTTGTTAGTCTCTTCTCCTTCGCTTCTAACCACATAGCATGATTTTAGCTTTGTCTCCTTCTCCAGAGCCTTGACATTTCTCATCTGGAGCACCTGGCCTTCCCTTCCGTTCACCTTCCATTCCAGAAGCCCCTTTTGCTGTAAACCATGGCTTGCTCTCAATCTATGCACTCAAGCACTGTGTTGTCACTGTTACTGGTACGACCTAATTTCCCGACCACAAATAACAAACTTCTGCAAATCTGGGCCTTTTGACACTAGTATACCTCCGTGCATGAAAAAAAACTTTTACCCAGTCCTCAAGAGAATTCAGTGATAAAAATTTACTGCTAGCAAGCTGACCAATTCAGCCAGTGCTTTGAGAAGTAAGACAAAATCTGAGTTTCGCGCTCTACCCCTAATCGCTGTCTTCCATTCTTCAATGTTTTCTCCACACAACTCTTTCTGGTTTTCCCAGTACCATGCTATTTTATGATTTTTCTTAACTCCTTTAGTAGTTCAAGCCATTATACTTTTCTATTTTTTAAAGGCATCTCCATGTTGGGAGGCGGATGGTGTGAAAAGTGTAATAGGGAAAAGGTAGAAAATATTACATAATTCTAATCCTAACCTAGCTTTATACAGGCTCCGTGAAGGCAGGGAGCGCTTCTGTTTACCACTGTGTATCCTGGGAGCACTGCACCTGGCACAATAATAATTCTGTGATGAATCAAGTTTAATCATGCGTGTTCTTGAAATAAAGTGAAGTTTATCAGAACATTCACAGAAGTTAGTCTAAAGTAACTCAAGTCATCATGTCTTCAGGCCTAGGTACGGGGCGCAGAGGATGGTTCAGATGCCCAAGGAGCACAAGCCGTATGTTCATATTTTCTCTCGAGTTGTGAAAATGAAAAACAAGATTTAAACATTTTTAACAGCAACATCTCCAAAACCAATGCACTTGATAAATATTTGTTGAATGAGTAGGAATGTTACTTTATATAAACAGAGTATTTTTCTTCTATAAATAAAGAAGGAAGAAGCGCCATCATTTTTATATCTCTCTCTATGTAAAAACCCAAACACTCAAATTAAATTTCTTTTATTTAATTGTAAGTTCTGACTAAGATTTTCTATGAGTTAACTGTCTTCAGCTGAAAAAAAATTCACAGTCATAAGTGGCCTAAATCACTCTCTCCCATATTCAGAACCGAAGTTTCCTCACACCTCACTTATGAAAGAATAAGTAGTTTACAACACCAAGCAATATGATGTTTTCCTAATATACTCAGTCAGTTAGATAGAGAAAAAAGGAAACACTGAGAGCAGAGGCAGAATATATGAGAGAAAATATTTAAAAATTAAGATTGCAACTTAATCTATTCAGACTGGGTTTAGCTAATAGTTCACTGATTCTGATCCTTGAATTGTTTTTCTCTTCCATGTCCGCTGAGCGTGGTCCCTCGGTACTCTCTGTGTACCCTGGCATTACACTTCTCTTCTTTCCAAGGGCCCTCAGTAAATAGATGGCTGGTTTTTAGATTTGCTTTGACTTTTCATCAGAGTCACTAAGAAAATAACTAATTCATGAATAAACAAATTCCAGGCAACAAAATTATAAGTAGGTGATTTGCTCTCATTCCCAACAGAAATCAGAGCCGAGGACCCTTGCTAAAAGGAGGATTATCTGGGGATGTGCTCCCAGGGAACAGGAATTTGGGACTGGGAGAGTGAAACAGCGAAGGAGGGAAAGCTAATTCAGGGGTGCATTCTGAGACCGTCCAATGAAGCGCACAGAATAAGCCTCTGAAGACCCCATCCCAGGGATAGAAGAGGGAGCATTTACCCGCCTGCTCCCATCCTGCCTAGGTCAAAGGTTGCACTATGAAGTGTTAACCTCATAAATCTCACTCCCAGGTTTGCATGTGCTCCAGTGCTAAATGATTATTTCAGAGAAGCTCTGAGATGGAAAGCAAGGG